CGCTCCCAGCAATTCGGGGAAAAGCACATTAAAATCAACGTGTCCAGAGGAACCAGCTCGCTGAGCCCATGTCTGTAAAGCATCAATGCTAGTAAAGATAGTGGGACTGCACGTACAAACAACACGTGTATAATATGTGCTTAGTTTGTTCTTGGTAGAGTTAAAACATCAGAAACTTTCCCGTGGCCACTAAAAACAGGGCTTTGTCTTTTGTAGGTGTTCTGGCGCAATATGTCAGCTGCTTAGAGCTGGTGAACAAAAGACTGCCCTGTGGCCTTGCTCAGATTGGAGTGTGCTTTCATTCTGTTCCAGAAAGTGAACATTCTGTTTCAGGAAATGAACAACACAACAAAAACCTGACAAGGTAGAGTAATAGAGCAGTTAATCCCTTATCATACCTAAGTCGTTTCACTTCTGGATTATTTTTGAGTGCTGTTTCTTGCTTTTCCCCTGTTATTTCCCAAGGTGTTAACTTGCTGCCCTTGCTGTTGTTTAAAGAATAGGCGAGAGGACCACGTCTCTGCTTGCCTGGTTTAGTTCTCCCAGAACTGCAGGACAGTGGCTCGATTACTGGCTACGCCAGAGGCTCCAGTGGTGGAGAAAGGTAACAGCAGCAAATCCATGGGGAATCTTGGCCTGTTCCTTTATGCCTTGGGGGGGAATAGTCACCTCACCCTGGTTGGTTTTATGGCCTTACATTGCTGGCCTGTTCTAGGTGCATTTCTGGTGGAAATTGAGAAGCTATGGAAGTTGATGAAAAACCTGATACCTAGTTTGTAACGTGAATTACAGAAAGGCAAATGTTTTGTGTTTGTCAGTGATGTGAGATGAAAATGCCATAAAACAACCAAGAGATTTGGGCTTTAACTAATAAAAACCTTTCGCTGAAAATCAGAAAACGGTACTAAAATGACCCAGACTTCATTTTGCATTGCAGACTTGGTTTTTGTAGTTACTGTGGGATTTGCAATAGTGATCACATCTTGTTACTTACTTTCAGTTTGCTGTCGGCCCCTCTAACTTCAGCAGCAGTGACTTTCAGGATGAAGAAGGCAGAAGAGGATTTAAGTTACATTATAGCTTTCCCTGGGGGACAGAAACAATAGAAACGCTGAAGAACCTTGGTGATACTGAACTGTTACAGCTGTATCCAGGAGAGAAATCGAAATTACTTGTAAGCTTTTCTCTATTTAACATTTTTCCTGATAAAGAAGGTAATGTGTGAGGGAAATGGTTTCTTTGCTGATCCACTTGCTTAGCATGTGGCTGGCCTTTTAATCATTTGCTGCAAGGACAGTACAGCTGACACTCTGCAATCAAACCATCATTTCCAAAGCTGATAAAATAGTGTTTGGTACTTTTTTTTTTGCAAGGAATTCTTAAAAATTAGAAATGAGCCCTATTGACAGACAGCTGTTGTCAGTGGCATAGCTTTTACCTGTATCTGTGAGTAAATGGAAACAAAAACTCAGACTGTGTTCTGCACTGTTCAGTTTGCATCAAAAAGAGCCTGTAAATGTTTCTTGCTGTAGCTTGCTCACTTTCGTGTATGTAGAAGTTTTTATAAATTAATGGGTTATAAAAATAGCTTTACAGAAAAGGGAGGGATGGACCAGAGGGAAATGTCTCCACTGAATATGTTGAAGAGGAACAAACCTAATAAATGGCAATGTTTGGAGTTAGGCTGAACAGATAAAACGAGAATAACTTTGTATTTTACTAGAAAATTGCAGCATTCTCCTCATGACAGTCCTGTTTTTCCTGCTTTTGCAGTTTATTTCTACACAACTGGGTTACATAGGGATTTCTCAGAATGTGGAGACTCGTGGTCATTTGGAACTAATCTACATACCTCCAAAAGAAAATGCAGAGTTTCAAGTGTATTTGCCATAGATTTAAATTTATGATCAAAGTGGCAGAGCAAGAAATGAATCCCATCCTGCCCTGACCTGCTTTCCCCACTGTTACAGCTTTACCTGGTTACTGATACACTGCTAAAATTGCTGGTAATATTTTAAATAAAAGTCTGTATTTTAAATGAAATAAGAGTGCTTGAGCTCAGTGTCTCATTAGACATTTAAAGCAAACAAAAAGCTTTTGGGGGCAATCTTTGATGTTTTCCTGTGTGGGTTTTTTCTCTTCAGGGCCGAGATGGAAGGAGAAATGTCATCCCTCATGTTCTGGCTGTGAATGGGAATCTGGACCGAGGAGTGTTAGCTTATCTCTTTGATTCTCTACAGGTGGTTGAGAATCCATTAACAGCGAAGAAAAATTCTCAGAGAAAGGTAAATTTGTGTAAAAAAAGTAAAATAGGTACAGCCCCCCTAGACAATGTAGTAAATTCAAGCATGGCAATGTTTCCTTTTCCATGTGACCATTCTAATCCCATCCCCATGGGTGCAGACTCAACCCTCTCACTGGCAGCACCAGGCTGGCCCCTTGGCACAGCCCCTGTGGTCCCTGTCACCCACATAAGGAATTTTTCTCATTCTGAGGTCCCCTTTTCCTGTTTTACCCTCCTCTCTGATCAGTAGGTAGGATCTTGCCATGCAAGTGATGGGGTTAAGAGAAATTGGAATGTAGCTGCAGATTATGGGAAAGAGCAATTTGTCTTTTCCAGCAGCATTGGAAAGTGGCTGAGCAGAGTAGAGAAAGTGGGTCCCAGGTGTTAATGGGGCATCTCCCCCAGGACCATCATTCTCCCCACTTTTCCCCTGGTTTCTGGAGTTGGAGTCAGGCTGTCAGTGCTGTTGCCCAGGCAGATGTTTGGGCTTTAAGAACAGGCAGTAAACTGGGTGGGAGCTGCCTGCTGGGCTGGCTCTCACCACTCTGGCTCCATTCAAGATGATGGAACCCTGCTAACAAATCTTCATCTCTTTTCTGGAGCTCAATCAAAATAGAGTCATTTCTGCTATGTGAATGTAGCTGGGCTGTGTGCTCGTTGCATAAACCACAGCTTGCTTCTAATTCAAGATTTTGTGCTGTAAGAAAATTTTTGTATGTTTAGAACCTTAATTTAATTTTTAAAAAATTGCTATTTCCTACTTCTGTTTAGAATTGCATGATAAATACATTTAGTAATCTGTTGTTTTTTTAAAATTTATTAGGTACTTAAGCTTCATCCTTGCTTAGCACCCCTTAAAGTGGCCTTGGATGTAGGAAAAGGTCCAACAACAGAGCTGAGGCAGGTATGTTGTAAGAGAGTATTTTAATTTTGAGCATTGACTCTCCATGTAATGTGTTACAGTTCAGACAATGTTTATGTTGAGGAAAATTGTGCTGCTGCTTTGACTCCTGGAGATTGCTGCCTGTGCAGAGTTCATGGTGCTGCTACTCTGCAGCTTGTGGCTCACAGCCAGAGGAATTCACTGCAGGCAGTTCCTTGTGTGGACAAATTGTCTTTGGTACAATACAGCTGATGCTTGATGCAAAATTAAGGAAAATTAATAACACCATCCCTCTCAGCTTAATCTATCACTATTATCTTAACACCTGAGTTGCACATTCAGAAGGATTTTTAAAAGTTTTCATTTAAGTCAGTCATGAAGTCCCTGTGGAAGGGAGGAAACTTACACTGGCATGTTTTCAAACAGAAGTGGAGACAGAACTGCCAGGCTGCTTTCTGATTTGAGATTATTTCAGCCAGCAAATAAACACCAGCTAGGAATGTTAATACCACACTTGTTATGAGTTTTAATGGTTTCTTTGTATAGGGTCTCAGCCCTCAGTCTGCCTTTTAACTTTTGTTTTTAAATGAAAACAGGTTTGTCAAGGATTGTTCAATGAACTGACAGAAAATGGAATTTCTGTATGGCCAGGTTATCTGGAAACTGTGCACGTGTCTCTGGAACATCTTTATACAAAGTAAGGACAAACAGTCTTTTGTAAATTAAACCATGAAGGTCAAAGATAACTTTCTTTAGACTGCTGTAAATATTCCTTTTTTCAGTAGGAAGTCATTGAGTGCAGTTACTGACTGAAGGTGTGGATCCTGAACTACAGACTTGGATTCAAGTAGTTTTATTATGAAAAGCATATATCAGCTAATTTTTAAAATTAATTGAAGTACAAGCCTTTCACATGTTACTGTTATTTCTCTGTAACTGTGAAAGCCTTTTAAAAACTCTCATGTAGAAAACAAATTTCTTCAGATGAATTGTAAGCTTGCAGAACTGGTTCCCACCCTCACCCCCATTTTTGCACCTGGTCTGCTTCTGTATTTCATTCTTAAACACTCTTTCAGACAACCCACTGTGTTGAATTTGACAGTTCTCCTAAGTCTGGAACCACTGCCATTAGTGATGTGATGGAAGTGTTTGTTTATGTTTGTTTATAAAAACAGCTGTTCCCTTTGGGGCTTTGTTGTGATTTGTTGATCAGGAGTAGGTGTGGGGCATATGGCTCCTCATGTCAAAGCATCCTGAGCATAGTGATGTGGTTTTTTTGAGAGAAAAGAAATGCAACCTCTTGTTCATGTGCAATAAAACAAAGAGAAATTCTGCTTGTAGAAAAATACTCTTTTAATAGGTTACTAAATAAGATTCTTTTTATATAATAAAGTAGCTGAGTAATTTGAAGATGTAATCAGGAAAGCAAGGAATGGCAACAAGAAAACTGGAGTGTTACACCAGACTTAGTGCAATACAGCAAAACAAAATTTGTACAGTTTATGGTCATTTGTATGTAAGTTATCTGATTTTTTCCATGCACCAAAAGCAGTAACAGGTGGGTTCTTCTCTCTGCAGGTATGATGAGATGAGTATTCCCTTCATGGTCTTGATCAGTGATGGCACTCTAGAGAATGGAGTGGTCCAGCTGAGAAGCAGAGACACCACCATGAAGGAAATGATGCACATTTCCAGGCTGAAGGACTTTCTAACTAAGTATGTTACATCAGCCAAAAATGTGTAAACTCAAACTTGTTGAATAGAAGAATTTTCTTAGACATCTTTGCCTGAATTGGTTTCCGCATTGTCATGGACTCCGTGGATTCTCTGCAAACAGTTGTGTGAAAACTTGGTGGTGCATCTGTTTTCTGTCACATCTGGGTCTTCCAGGTTGTCTTGGAAAAAGGGAAGAGAAAAACTTGTCCCTTATTAGCAAGGCTGACCATATTCTGGTTCATGTCTTTGGTTTTTATATCATGACAGGGCTCCATCCTAAAGTAAAAATTCAGCTTTCCCTCTGTATTGCTGAGACAATTGTGATCTTTGCTGGAAAATGGTATTTTATATTAAAGACTTCCAAATCTTAAATATTTTAATAACATTGGTATCTTCTCTCTGCATTTATGTTCTTTTATAATTTTTATGTTGGGTGTCAGCAAAGTCTCCCAGTATTACATGGACCACCACCAATGTTTGATGGAATGGCAGGAATAGATTTATTATTAACAGGTGTCTTTTTTCTGTTTGTGGGAATGTGTCACATGGCTTCAGTTCTTAAACATGTAAGCTACTTCATCTTGCACTTGATAAACATAAAAAAATCAGAAATATATTACCAAGAGTAACAGAATAACAGATATAATTTTTTTTAACCAGTATTTTCTGTGGACAAAATATCTGCATGTACAAAATGGTGGAAAAAGACTAATGTGTGATTGCATTTTTCCTGTACCTAAGCACAGTGGTTAAAATCAGATACAAGAGTTTGCAGAGATACAGAACTCAGTGTTTCTGATCTTCTCTAGATTTCCAGTGCCTGTACAGCTTGTTCAGTCCCTGTGTAAAGTGCAGCAAGGCCCATGGCCTCTGATAGTCATCAGTCATCAAACACAGGAACTTGCCTTAAAATCTTCTTCTAATAACATGGTGCTCACTTAAATATAAATGAGTTATTTGTAACAGCAGTAATATTTGCAGCATAGAGTATTTATGCTAGATATAATCAATGTTAGCATAATGTGACTTCTTACTGAACTTATGGAATTCTAAATAAGCTGCTATGGAATGGTATTAAAGCAACCCAGCAACATCTTAGAAACAGCTGGTAGCAGGATGTTTTAGCAGAGTCTATTTTTAAATCAGCTGTCCCAAAATTAATTTTAGCAACCTATCCCTACTCTGAGAGCTGAAATACTGTTGAACTGTGAAATTGCCATCCTTGCAGGTACATAGAGGCCAAATACAGATCCTCTGGTGCCTGAGGGATGTTTTTTCTTTTTTTTGTTAAACTAGACAAAAGCCTTTTGGTTATCTTATGTCTGCAAACAATCCAGTTTCTACTTTATGGTCAGGAACTTAAATCTGTGTGAAAGCTTTACATGTAATTCTAAGTTTTACCTGTTTGCTTTTTCTCATAAGTTGAAGTCCATAGATACTATGGCTCAGAGATTTTGCTTCCAAAGTGAGCTACACTGTCTGTCTACAAACTGATTAGGCCAGGAAATTGGTATCTAAATGTCATCTCTTTGTATGCAGCTTGCTGGAACTTAGCACATTTGAGGGCTGAAAAATTTAAAAGTATGTGATTAAGTTAATCAGAAAAAATGATAATCATACCTGGTACTCAGTCTCTGATGAGGACCTTTGAATAGACTGTAGCACATGGCCTCTTCCCTGCTGAAAGCCAGAATAACATAATTCATAGCTGCTTTCTTGGTACAGATACACAGAATTAACATCACATCAGCAATGTGGTTGCTAATGACATCTGTGTGGTTCCCTAGGGAGGCTGTTGAATTTGCCTTAGGATGGTTTGTTGGCGTTTTTCCTTCTTCTTCCCCACCCCTCCTCAAAACAGTTTTAAAGCTATTTTAGTTTTTCCATAGTAACTAAGCAATTTCATAAGCAATTGCAAGTATTTAAGCCCTGCCTCCACCCAGCAAAGTCCCCTCAAAACATATTTGTGTGCATCAGATATTCCAATATTACAGCTTGAGGTTTTCACCTTTTTCCTCTTCTCTTCTAATAACAGCGAAGTTGATGTATTCTTCTTCTGGTCTAACAGGCTCTGGATTAAAGATTATGAACAGCAATTAATTCAATTACAAACAATTTGAATCAGATATTTTTTTCTGTAATTTTGAAACAAAGCAGTGAGATTCCATACTGAATATAAATCATGGAGTATCCGTGGGCCTTATCAGAGCTCTTCTCACTGTCCTTGCAGGCTGAGACCTGGCACAAGCAGCAGCCCAGCACTGAGCTGACCCAGCAGGGCAGGGAGAGCTCTACCTACTGCATGAACAGGAAGGCAGGTTTGTTTGGAGGCAGTTTCTCCATTTGGATGTTTAGAAATTGGAAACAATGCCTTTGCTATTGGTTTGTTTGGGAGGTTCTTATTCCCCTTGGAAAGAGGCATTCACGTTCAAGGCAAAGGCAGAAATGTGCAAGTTCAGAGCATTGTCAGGTAATGTCTTCATTATTGTTTGCTTTCTGCAGTTCAAGTTCTAAAATGTATTAACATAAGTCAGTTGCTTTGTTGTCACTTGATAATTTCAGTTTGAATTTTTTTTGAATCTTGCCAAACTTAAGAAGGATTGAATAAATAACTAAAGTACTGAACAATTTTGAACAGAATGCAGGAGCTATGCAAGTTTGATTTTGCTACAGCTTAATAGCTCACTATTTCTGTTAGTAAATGGCCATTACACCTTTTTTATTAAAACCTCAGTTCATTTAACCAGCTGCAGTTTTGGCTGCGTGGCTGTCAGATGGTGCCAGATATGGATTCTGAGGGATTTCAGATAATGCCTCTGCCAGGAGGGTCAGTAGATGTCCCCTTCCAGTACCTGAAGAAACCTGCCTGACTGCAGGGGGTGACAGGAACTTACCAATCTCTGAGTATATGACTTCATTTTCACACTCCTCTGCATTCACTCTTGAAATAAGGCCAGTTGAGGGCCTGGAAGACTTAAATTTTTCTGCAAATTGTAGAAGCAAAAGGTGTGTTATGTGTGTGTATTTATATATATTTCTTAGAAATAAAAGTTTCAGTGTATTTTTTAATATTTGGGGATCTCGGGTAATATTGTTTTCACAATCAAAACTTACTCTTTAACCAAGGGCATTTTAATAACTTCCCTTTCCATTGAGGTCAAATTCCTTCCAGTGTTTTTGTGTATTACATTATCTGTTGCTTTGCCTCCCCCACCCCAGATCTTTCATCTAAAACACAGCTCAGACATTTGGCCTTGTCAAAGTCTTGTTAAGCTGCTGGTGCTGCTTCAGAGGAGATTCAACAACATGATAAAATACCAGGAGCTACTCTACTGTGATCTTTACACACTGAAATATATTGACAGCATAAATGACCTTTGGAAAAAGAAACAAACATTCAAATAACTCACTTGCTTTATACAAAGGAATTAGGAAAAATGGAATTGCCAGAGCAAATCCTATTATAAGTAGTAGCAGGATCAGCCCAAGAGAAATTATCAGGGGCTGAGACTGGCTTCTCTCTTCTGCTAAAAAGAAGAAAAAAAAGGTGTTTATGCAATGAAGTGTTGTTTCATATTTTAAGTATTTTCTGTAAATTGAAATCAAGACTTGACATTTCTTTCAGCTTTTAGATTAACTGGGGTTACTGTAACTGTTCATGAGAGTCCCAAGGGCTCTGTGCCCCAGCAGAAGGAGAGCAGCTTACTGGAGCCAGTTAAGCTCTTTCATGGGAGCAGAGAGAAAAATGAAACCAGACTCTCTCCAAGGTGGACCAGGGGTTTCCTGTAAAAGTGAGTCTTCTACAGACATCCCCCATTGTCCCTTCAAACTTCTACTGCTATCTAGGATGCATGGAATTCTATGGTTTTGCATTAATTTTAAAACCTCAATTTTTTAAATTAAAAAAATTATATTTTGAACATCACATTATCAAAATATCTGGCTAAACAGTTGCATAGTTACAACATTCTGAATTTTGTGTGATCCCAGTTTGTCAGCAGTAATAACCTCCTTTCATTCATACCTGCTAATGTAAAGTTGAAAGCGTTGCTGTATTTTGTAATATTGGGAAAACTGTTATTAGCTTTGCATTTATAGGTTCCAAAGTCACTAAGGGAATTGATAAATAGAAAAATCACAGCTGCTTTCCTCTTCTGCATTGTCTTTTGGGGAGAAATGTTTTGTGTTCCTTTGAAGAATAGATAGGTGATGGGAAGGGATCCGTTCTCCGAGAAGCAGGACAGGGTCACGTTCTGGCCTTTCTTTGCCTGAGAGGTGGGAGAGCTCAGCACTGGCTTGGAGATTGGCTCTGTAGAAAGAAAACTGAAAAGTCTGAATCACAGAGTACAGGACCAGCTCCAGGCAAGGCTTGAAGTGACAACACTGGCAAAAGAGCTGGGCATGGAGGATGGAAGGTTGTGAGCCAGGTGGGAGAGCACTGCCAGCTCTGAGGTAAGAACAGCAGCAAAGTTCAGCTCCTCAGTCAAGAAAAGAGATGGCTGTGTGCCCCTGCAATGGCCAGAGCTGGGAGGGGGTACAGCAAGACGTACCTAAGAGGGTGAAGGTGAGGCTGTTGCTGTATTTTCCACCACTGGAGTTGTTATACTCAGCTTTGCACTTGTATTCCCCCACATCGCTGGCAGAGCTGATGGTCAGGGTGAACAGTGCAGGGCTCAAGTCTGACCTGTTAAAAACAGATACCTGCTGGTTGTGCTTGAACAGTGTGTATCTGACAGGTGGATAGCCAGGCTCAGAGAGGCAGGAGAGGGTCACATTCTGCTTCATCACCACATTCAAAGTCCCCTGAACCAGTTCCAGCTTGGGATTGGACACCATCTCTGGAAAGAAAAAGCTTCTGAGTGAGTTGACTGCACCTATGACCCAAGAAAGCCCCAGATTTGTCCCAAAATATGTTGACAACCAAGCTATGCTTATTTGTGTTAAAATGACCCATTATACTTTTTCCACCTCTGATATCAGGCAGGCAACTCAATAACTTTTCAAAACCAGAATGCAGCTTCACACTTGATGAAAAGTCCCTGTGTTCATGCAGAAGAGGCACAGCCACACAAAGCCCACAGATGTGTTCAGATGAATCAATACTTTTGAACTACAGCAGCAATTAAAATAACAGAAATATAAAAGATTAAATCAAATATTGTGGAGAATTAATTGTAGGAGAAAGTCACCTTATAAATTAGTTGAGAGGTAGCATGTGAACCTGAAAGCAAAAGCAGTATTTTATTTGTTGCTGTCTATTAACAGACAGAACTAACCTTGTGTAAGTAGATTGAACACATGAATAGTGGCAGTAAGGGCCTTGATGGTTTCTCAAATTTGTTTCTTTTCATGATCTTATACAAATGAATTTGCAATAAAAACCTGTCTTTCCATAGAAAAGGGTACTGAACTAGTCATGACTAAAATACATTACAACATTTCCATGGGGGAAAAAATGTTTTAACAAGTTAAAGCAATTTTGACTTTACATACAGGTCAGCAAGGAGATTATTAACTTTGTATAGAAACTTTTGAACTGACTCACTGCACAGAGGCAAAAGATTTAATTTGGCATGAAATTTTTTGACATTTTTAAATTCCTCCCCCATTTTTCTTGGCTAACAGTCAATCTCAGCACATACCTCAAAATCAACAAGAGAACCTACCTTTGCCATTTGCAGTTGTTTTCTGTATCTGTTGAGACATATGAGCTAAGAGAAGAAAAAGAAAAGCTTTCAGACAAGAAACAATGGTTCTGCTTGAGAAAGGTTTGTAATATGAAAGAAACATGTCCTTAGCTTACAATAGGAAAACAGCAGAATTGTCAGAAAAAACATTTTCTGGATACTGGGCAAGAGAGCTGGTGCAATTGCATGACAGAGATCTTTCTTCTGAAGGAGGTGGAGGAGCGGCTCTAGGGCTTGAGGAAGTTCTAAATACGGAAACTGTGCTGATCACTGCTGATCTTTACTCATGTTTCTGTGGAGAAATTTGTCCTATTTCACATACATTGACCTATGGCTGGCAGAGGGTGGGCAGAGAGAGGAGCAGTGGGGTGGGGAGCTGCAGTTTGGGACACAGGCAGATGTGTCCAGCTGTCCTGAGCCATGGCAGCAGTTTGGGACACTGGCAGATGTGCAGCAGTTTGGGACACAGGCAGATGTTGTGTCCTGCTCTCCTGAGCCATGGCTGATGTGAGCAGCAGTTTCTCCCCTGAGTTTTGTGGCAGAGCCACCCTGCCCTGCAGTTCAGATCCAGGGACTCAGTGAGGGTGGAAAAGGCCTCAAGAGCATCGAGTTCAGCCATTCCCCCAGCACTGCCAGGGCAACACTAAACCCTGTCCCCATTTAAAGACATCTCCATGTCTTTAAATCCCTCCAGCTGACTCCACCACTTCTCAGGGCAACTTGAACCCCTGTCTAACCTTTTCCATGGAGAAATTTTTCCTAATATTCAATCTAAACCTCCTCCAGTGCAACTTGAGGCTGATTCCTCCTGTCCTATCTCTTGCTGCTTGGGAGGAAAGACCAACTCCCACCTCTCTCATTTTGGGTAGTTTTTCCAGCACTGTTCTGGGAAAGGAATTAATGAGATCACTGATCCATATCAAAGAGACACATATTTGCTAGAGATAGGCTCAGCTATATTATCACTTGCCCTAAGGATGTACGTGGCACTGGGTATGTTTTTAGCAGCAATATAATTTTTAAAAAACAATCTAAAAAGTCTAAAATCTATCAGAATTTTAAGATGTTAATAAGTATTTATAGCTAGCCAGCTTGTTAAGAAAATATTTCAGTTGAGCTTCAAATATTAAGCTATAAGGAAGTGAAATCTTGTACTAGAAGGTACAAATCTCATAAAGAATTTGAGTTCAGCACTACTGCATAAACAAACCTGATGACTAATTTGATGAAGTAATCAGTAATACAAAGCTACATAATGACAGGCTTGGCAAGCAGATGTTTTTTACTCTGGGTGAAGTAAATGTCAGCTATGCATGGGCAATGCCTTCTGCAGCACTCCAGGCTCTGTTGTACAATTGCTTACACAGAAAATGACTTAATAGCAATCCTTGTCTTATTTCTTATTTCTTTCTTTGCACTTTCTGAAGGCAACAAAACAAGAGCAGCCCTGCAGCCCTTTTCTGGGTCATAGAGGATCCCTGCCCCATCCTTGGCTGTTGCAGCATTGCAAAATTTCCTCACAGAACGTTGTGTGCACTTCCTTCCTCCTTGTTTTTTAAAGTTTGGTGGAGGTTTACTTGTTTGGGTTTGTTTTCTTTTAAAATTTCTTTTAAGACAGTCTCCACCCTCCTCTCTCTGAAATGTTTCTGATGTGGAAACGCTGTCAGCAAACCCCAAGAACCGAACATCTTTTCCCAGCTGGCAGGAAGCACGTGTGAAAGTGCAGCTGTGGGAGGGAGGATGGGGCTGTTTGTGCATTTTGCTGTTGGGGGAGCCTGCCCTTGTCAGAAACTTCCACAAACAGCCCTCAGGAGCCCTGGCTGCTGGAGCTCACCTGCAACCCAAGGCTTTTTCTAAGAAGCTGTGGGTAAACTGTGAATTTAGCCATATCTTTTAAAAAATAAAAGTTTAGGTGTCACCAGAATCTCTGGTGTCCAGCAGCTTTCATGGTGTGCAGGGAAGACAAGTGCTGGTCCAAAGCCCTGGTTTCTGTTTGCTGAGATTTGTTTCCATCTGGATTGTTTTTCAGGCAGAGCTGGCTGTTGCCTTTGGACTAAGAGGATGTTGGTTCTTTCAGCATGTGTACAGAGTTTTATAGCAGCAGTAAGGTACTGTGTGAGCTTGGAGTTCCCTTTTTATTAGATTTGCAAATTTCCTGCCTGGAATTAATGTGGTTGTACATGCAAGGAGAACTGAATAAACTCAACAAAGAATAATGGGCAGAACATTGCAGAACAGAACAGAAATCATCCAGCCAAAACAAGTAAGTTAAAACATCAAAAAGGGAAATATGTATCACAAAACAAGTAAGTTAAAATATCAGAAAGGGAAATATGGATCACAAAACAAGTAAGTTAAAGCATCAGAAAGGGAAATATGTATCACTTGGTGCTGTGACAATATTCTGCCTCAAGCCAGCAGGTGGAAGGGAATAAACTAAACTGAGCTCTCATTCACAAGGTCAGTTCTTTACCTTGGGATGGATTTCTGTAGTAAGAACTTTGTCTGTTCTGTCACAGGCTTCCAAGGAAATTTGTGTGTTTCAGCAGTTCTAAGAATTATTATAAATAGTTATTCCCAGTCCCAGTTTCTCATCCCTAGAGGTCCTGCAGTCTGGAGGAGCATCTGCTGCAGTGGATGTCTGCAGAAGGTTTGCCAGAAATCACATGGACTGACAGTTATGTCTGGTGATGGATTAAATCAAGGCTTCTGTTTTGTCTGCAAAAAGGTTTTACTTCTACAGGCAGGTTACTCAATGCTGGATTTTCACACTCCTACTCAAAAAGGCTGTGGGGGCAAGTCTGCTGTTTATTTCAAGTACATGGTGTTTGATTGTGAGAGAATTGTTTTTCTGGAGGACAAAAAAGAGAAAAGGAAAGGATCTCCTTTCTCTGCATATTTAAGATAGCTTTAAATTTATTCTGGTTGTGAAAGAGAATTTTGACATAGTGAATGCTTTTCAATTGACTGCAGATTGCAAAGAACATGTCAGCAGGTGCAAGGAACTTTTGGGTACCCAATTTAATAAAGCTAGCAGCTCCCAAATCCCCCAGAGATGAAATATTTTTAAATAGTATGTCTGTCCTCCAAATCAACTCCCAACAATGAAAAAAAGAAAGAAAAAAAAAAAGATGAAACTCTGAAAACTAGGGTTACTAATGCATTTCTCTTGGGATAGATTCAAACATCCCTGCATGAAAAGTATTCCAGACAAATATTTTAAGGAATTGCTGTAAGAGTACAGGATAGAGTGCTCTGTTAGCTTAATCACTCAGTTTACTTACAGGTGTAATTTTAACTTTTTTCTGGTTCCTAACCTCTGATAAAAGTTAAACTTTCACCCCTGCTCCCCCACAATACCTAACAGATTTAATGAAAAAATGTTTAAAATGGAACACATATTCCAGGACTGACTATTATCAGTCATTTATCTATTTTTCAGCCTTTTTCAAGCCTCTCTTGGTGTACTCTGAGGTGTATCTGAGGAGTATCTGCCCCTCTGTGCAGTCATCCATCAGGTCCATGAGGAGCAGCAGTGGCTGGCTGTGTGTGGGCACCTGCAGCAGATCAGGAGCAAATCAGTTCTGCCTCTTGCTTTGCACAGGCTGCTGAAAGATTTTCTGTCAACTTGGATCAGCTCATTGAGTCACCACCAGCTGAATTTTACTGATGAAACTGATGTGGAATAATGCTTGTGGAATCATCAAGCAGTATTAAAATAATGGTAAGAGAAAGAAAAATGTTTCCAGGATTAATTCCCTCTGCAGCCAGAAGTTACTGACCTGTCCTCTGTCAGTGCTGATGCTCTGATGGATATTGCTGCAGAGCTTGAGGCTGTTTTCCAGCTGCATCTGGAAATGCTGGAGTCGAGCAAATGCTGGTCCATTGCCAGGGAAGGGCAGTGTGTGACAGTGACAGGGTGTGATGTGTGCTTCTGAACTGAGGAACTTGCTCATCCAGCAGCTAGAAATGTCCTTGAGGAACCAAATCAGTCCCACACAACTGGCACAGAGAAAGTTCCAGGTGTTGCCACAGACCATGATCACATTGTAATCACCAATTGATTTCACATCTCTGAAAGAAGGAATTTCTCTTATTTGTCTGAAAGAATTTCTAAGTGTGCTGTGTGAAACACAAGTCAAGACAGATTTCCAGTGCTCTTTCCAGTGTTGCACTGTACCAGTGAGGAAGCAGAAAATCAAATAGTAATAATTAGCTCCTGCTGTAGTAAAAGTAGAATTTCCAGGGTGAAAACCTCAGTGATATTCTGTCATTATCAACCTTCTGGTTCCTTTAGATACTTTTTCAGGTGTAATTTATGTTGCCATTTGGAGGAGGTGTTGGATATCAGTCATCCAATGTTTAATTGAGAAAGGGGGCAATGAGGGAAGCCCAGTGTGCTTCACTGTCTTGCTCATCTCCCAGCAGATGGTGCCATTGTGAAATGTAATTTATACCCAGACAAACTGGGCAATCCAGAGTTTCTGTAAATTGTAATTTGTGGAACTTCCAGACTTCTCAAAAAAAGGCTATGGTAATTTCTTTAATGTTCTTTTAAGTATTCAAATCCATGGAGAAAAATTAATTTTTTATCCTTCTCTAGGGAAGTATAAAGAGATGCTTTTAAAACAAAAATAATTGATGCAAATGTCCCACTTTCAAGAGAAGACAATGTACCCTGAAAATGTGTGTACAAAGAATTTGTTTCATTCCCAGCTCACCAGGGATTTTGTAGGCTTGTGAAAACAGCAGTGTTGTTATAGTTCTATTATCTGTGAGTATACTGAAACAGAATTGATAAGTAAGCAAAACAAGTCACAGCTGTAAGAAATCAAAGCAGTTAAACAATTATATGTGTCAGGAATTGAGGGATTAGAAATCAGAGCTGTTCTTGATTTAGTTACTGGAGAACTTGTGTTGACTTCAGTGTAGATAGACATCCATTTCTGAATTTTTAAAATTTATAAAATAAAATTTAGAAAAATCCTTAACATTTGTACATAGACCTCTATAGCAGTGAACTGTATTTAAAATCAGTGAACCTACACAAGAAATTACATGGAGCCTCCATGATCAGTGACAAGATTTCTGAGCCCAAAAATG